ACAATCAACTAGGGCGCAAACTTTTGACATATGTGTACCCCTTCTATAATTTTCGTAACATTGAGTACCCCTTGTACTCATGAGAATGTAGAATTAGGTGCAGCTAAGCACGGTGCAGTACATATCCCCACCAAACTCTGGTGCAACATGTACCCCCACCAATCTCTTCCCGTGCCCCTGGGGGTACGCGTACCACACTTTGGGAAACACTGAACTAGGCTGTAGGAGACATTTTCCAAGAGCTCAGAATTTCCCCTATTTCCCCTATGGCTTAGAAGTACATCTGGGAAGGTTTTGTAAGTCCCCAAGTTCCTCCTAGCCACAGAGGGAATGTTGGAACTAATTCTCTGGGCAATCTAATATCCAGCTTAATCACTCACCCCTGCCCTCATCTGGTTCAACACCTAAGAATAAAGCTTCATTCATTTATCTTCTCTCATGTTACTCTGATCCAGCCTTCTCTGGGCACAGTCCTCCTTTCTGACCTTTTCATTACGTTCTCTGAAGCTTCCAGTCCAAGATAAACACATTCTTATTTCTCTCCTCTCTGCACCAGGCATTTGTTTATCTTTCATGCTTCAATCAAAAACTGTCCCTTAAGGACACAGCTTTCTGAAGCCTCTCAAGTGGAGGCCATTTGTTACCACTGTCCTTCATGTCGGTGTTAAGGATGGGGTTAGTATCACCTGAGGTCTTTCTGTCACTTCACCATTAATCCTCCACCCTCGCTGAGGGACCTAAACCCCTATAACTATTCTTATTGGTTTTTTTTTGCCATGAGCGCCATTGCCCCCTGTTGCTTTCAACATTTGACATTCCATATTTTCTATATCAGTTACTGGATATCCAGGTTTCTCACCCCAAGTCCTGACATCATCCTGCATGATGTGACTTCAGCAATGAAGTAGATAATTCATCTCGCCAGGGCCTTTTTGCTCCTTATCTGCAATAACTTTGTCCTCCATACTTCTGAAGCTCCCACAGCCAAACCTCCTGGACCCATCCTCACATCAAATGCTTTCCTTCTAAAATAATGAATGAGTGGATGGAACCATCTGGAACAATAATGATGATGAGATAATGAAAATGCTGAAATGTGAAATGAGATCACATCATCTCCATATGGCTGGTGCCAGGGGGATTTTTGAAGACTCCCCCACCCCCCGCAGATGTGAATTATAAAGAAAGAAAGATGTGCTTTTAATCCTCCTTCCTGTGGGATTTCTCCAGGCGTTTCCTCCAAATATGCAAAATCGACCATATCTCAAACATGAAGCAATCTGTTCCAATAGCCTCATGCAGGCGAGATCTGGAAGATGTGACTGCGGCGTATGTGGCTGTGTATGTGTAGGGATGATGGAAGGTAAAGCATGGGTGTCAGGTGTCCTGGGCTGATAGTGCCTCCCTCCCCAGCATTCATGCCCACCCAGAACTTCAGCATGTGACGTCTTTTGGAAATAAGGCTTCTGTAGAAGTAATTAATTAAAATGAGATCACACTGGATTAGGTTGGATCCTTATTTCATGACTGGTTTCTTTTTCAGAAGAGAAAACAGAGACATAGACACAGGGACTAAGACCATGTGACAACACAGGTAGAGAGACTGGAACTATGCTGCCACTACCCAAGGAGAGCTAGATTACTGGGAGCCACTAGAAGCTCGAAGTGGCAAGAAAGGACTCTTCCTGCAAAGAGGGGGGAATGGGAACATTTCAAATAGTGTAAGCAAATAAAGTTAAAAGAAGAGAAGACAGGGTTCTCACCTGGAGCCTTCAGAGGGAGCATGGCTCTGCTGACACCTGGGTTTCTGACTTCTGACCTCCAGAACTGGGAGAGAATACATTTGTGCTATAAGTTACCCATGTGTGGTACTTTGGTTACAGCAGCCCTAGGAAACGAATACACAGGGGGGTAGTGAGGTTGTTTCATCTAGGCTATTCTCCCTTAAGTGCTTATTTTCCCTGCACGTTAATGGAACTCATCACTCTATCTTGCCCCCCTCATCGCTCCTCCTTGCCTCCAATCTCTATTGACAGTCTCATTTGAGTTAGAAAAAGAATGGAATAATCTCTTGCAAAAAATAGAACATAGGCAGAATCATCATTGTTTTTGCTGGATTAAAACAAGTATTTACTAAGTGTCAATAATATGCAAAACACGGCAAAGCACTCCACATACATTATTAGCTCTAATCCTTACTACAGCTTTGCAAAATAGGGTATATTAATACTACTTCTGAAATGAAATGAAGCCTCAGAGAAAACTTCTTACAAGTAATTTGATTTATATGGACAGTTGGATGACATACTTGACATCCGGTCAGAGTCTTTACCAACGGTGCATTAAAAAAAAAAAAAAAAATTGTGTCCCTAAACCACTTAGTTCTGAATATGACGAAGAAGAAAGAATCATGCCCAGAAATTGCTTGCTCCCCGGTTTGTTTGCTAGCCAAAATAGAACTTTATCAATATTCAGTAGACATTTGAGATATTCAATCCAGGTTTCCACCTCTTCCCCCTCAATCCCACAGCACTTTCCATGACACTCATACAAACCCAAACTATCCGAGCCAGTTGGCCTGGAGGTCAATTCCTCCCAGTGATAATAACAACAATCAAGGCTTAAGTACAACAGTACTGTGCACCCATCCCACAAAGGGGTGCACCAAGAGTGTCCACCTTATGTGATTGGGGAGGCTGAGTCACTGGGCCCTATAGGATAAATACTACACAAAGTCACGTTATCAACACATGGGGTGGGGGTGGGGGTGACCGGGTGGATTTTTTTCTTTAAAATATATAGACATTTACATTTGTTGAGTACACTCCTTCTGCTATAAAATATATGTTATGAATGTCTCAAATGTTGACCTCACTCTGGGAGGCAGGTGTCACTCATTTTACACAGGAGGAAACGAAGGCTCAGGAAGATTAAATCAACTACTTAGGGTTCAATAGCAAGTGATAACAGTGGTTTGAATTCTTCTCAGTCTGACTCCAAAGTCACACTTTTTAACATCTACCATATTGCTTCCTTAAATGGGAAAAATTACTGAAGAATAATCAGCCCTTGAAATACTAGAATTTAAAGCATTTCAAGCAATTGAATAAAAAAAAAATACATCATTGCTTGGATGATCAAGACAGGAAAATTTCAAATCATATCAGCTAAAACTAAAAATTTTAATCTCTCTGGCTCAAGTGGAAAGAAAAGAAAAGCCTATCACGGACAGTTTCAGAGGGAAAGGCTCCTTGTGTGGTTGCCCATTACGTTCCCATGGAGGCAGGACTGAGTCTCCTTTCTTCTCCGATAGGATGGTAAGAAGCCCCCTGCTGTCTGCTCTGCCCTGGGACAGACTGGAAGCAGTGGCTGAGAACATGTGTGAAAATGTGTGCGTGTGAGTCATGTGCATCCCAGAGGCACCAATCCACCTGCTCCCTCGGAGCCTGTGCAAGCCCAGAAAAGGTTCAGGGTCTGGCCCAGAGGACCAGAGTGGTTACCCCCAGCCAGAATGAGGGCTTGGGTGGCATAGATACAAGGGAGAGAAATGATTCTCTCTCTTTTTTGTTCACTGTTTCCTTCCCAGGAATTTCTGACAGAACTACAAGCAAGATGCACTATCTATCTTCTCCTCTTGAATATAGAGGACCAAACAGAAATGTGGGCTGTAGCTGAAGAAGAGCTTTCTTTTGAGCAACAACTTGAAGGGCTACTTCTTCTACCAAATCTTGCAAAAAATAATAAACTAACCAATCTACTGAAAAACTGTGAACATGAGTCGGAGGTCCTAATGTAAAGTCACCAGCATTTCTTGACCACATTTCCCCCATATGCTAGTATTCTCCACCTTCTGAACCAGGTGTGACTAGCAATTTGCCAGTCTTCTTGAAACTCTGGAAAGCCTACTACGTCCCCGGCAGTGCTTGGTGCTTTTGTAACCAATCTCTTTTCTTGGTCACAACAATATGACAAAGATATTATTATCTAGAAATAGTTTTATAGAGGTTCAGTTACTTTCCTGAAGTCACAGAGTGAGCTCGTGACAGAACCAAGATGGGGACCCACTTTAGTCTCCAAAGCTTACCTGTGCTCCATGACGTACTGCAGGGGCGAGCTTTAGATGCGGTTGAGCCCTCACAGACTGGTCTATGAATCTCGTGGGAAGCGCTTACTGGCAATGCCAGTCTCTCAATAAGTCTGCATGCTCCTGGAGAGGTGGGGTCTTTTTAGACCACAAGAGTCTGGCACATAGTAGGTCCTCAATAGATATCTGTTGCATTGAAATCCAACTGCTCACATAGATGTGACCTATTTGACAATGTTTCAGCTGAGTTTCCTGGTACATTTAAGTCATGTCTGACCTTTACTTGGGATCTTTACCCTGGGGTCTTATTTTGATTTTGTGACATAGAATGTGCATCATGGATGAGGGGCGTTGCCTTTGGACATGGGAGGCATTAAGAAATCAATGAGATTCTGCATGCCAATCTTAATACAATGGACATGGGTTATCAGGAGACAAGGGCGTTTCTGGGAAACAAGCGTTGTATTTTGTTCTTCTCTATTTCTCAATAAATTTAGGACACTCAATTATTCCGCCTGAACTCTTCTCTTAACTCGGTGGCTTCCAATCCTGATATGCAAGACCATATTTTAAACATGGGATTTTTAAATTGAGGCTGTTAAATTTTCACAACGTAAAACATTGGATTTCATTCTCTCTCATATATGAGTTTTACAAATGTGGATTACAAAATACCAGGATTCAAAGGAAAGGTAATACTGAATGGCGGCCCCATTTCCCTACCTTGGGATGAACATGGCTTATAAGGACATGGCTATTTCTGCAGCCTCCTGTGGAAGGAATCTCATGGCCCAGATCTGTAGCCATGCTCTTTTCTGGAACATTTCCTCTACCGAGCAGAGGGTCCTTATTGTTGAATCCAACTGGATAGCTGGTAACATGTTAACTTGGTAAGAATCAGGATATTAGCATGTTGTTATATTTTTAAGAAATTATCTTTATTTTGATTGTTTATCTAGACATGCCGATGGATATTTAGGCCACATTTTGAGCAAAAAACTCACAGAGTGTTTTTTGTTCTCCCCCCCCCCCCAAAAAAAAAACACCACAACTTACTTGTGTACACAAAACAACAGTTTTAAGGGTTTGCTTAAAAGAAAGAACAAAGCGTAAGAAATACAGTGAAATACAAGCTCATAACCATTTTTCAAATCAATGAGCATATCTGATTCTACATGAGAGAAGTTACAAAACAGGTCTGTATTTTGTAGGAAGCGATATATGGGGACAGTGTTGCAGGATGCGCTCCGAGTCCCCTTGTGGGAAGCCTTAAGCACTAGAAACAGTGGGGTCTTGACTCAGCCTAGCAGGGGCTGAGTGAAACCCGATGGGTCAGGGTTTCATGAACAAGGTTCTGACTATTCCCAGAGGCTGTTACAAGGAAAAGCAGATGTGCCTATCAGGCCTGGCAGTGTTATTTAGTCTCTTTCTCTCTTTTAATTTGATTTTCATTTACCTTGCTTACTAAAAATAGCCCTTTGACCCATTTCTTCTCAAGCAACGAAATAATTAAACTCAAGTCAGCTGTCAGTGGCCCATGGACCAGAAGAAGAATGTGGAGATAAGGTCCCTGGATGATCCGCAGCTGTCTTGACTGGTAACTGGACTCCTTCCACTGAAATATTGCAAGAGAGCTACTGGTAGGCAAGAAAAAAAAAATGTTTTCACATTCTCTTGTTTTGCCTAAAAATAAAGAACTCAAGAAATCTCCAGATGACTGAATGGAGGCCACAAATGCATCATGTCTCATTTTACTTCTGATTTTTTATTGTACCAGTAGCTGCTTCCTAGGCTTAACCCCTGGATATTTGGTAGTTTTCTCTGTGGGTTTTTCTTTAAGACCTAATTGTAGCATAAATACTTTGGCCCTAGAAAGTTGGACCTACTAACAACATTCCCAATATTATTTATTTAATTTACAATATAAATATAATTTAAACAAAGTCCATTTCCTAAAGTCAAGGTAGAGCTAAAATAGCCTTTTCTTTCTAATCTCTACTGTATTGTCCCCAGTAACTGCTGTCCTTGATTTGATCTCACGTACATTAAAAACAGATGACTCAAAAGCCCTTTCTGCATCCTCAAACCAAAATAAGTGAGGTTTGGAAGCAGGAATACATTCAAGTTCTTCCCTTTTGGGCCCTACCAACCTGAGAGCTTCCGAGTATTACAGCAATAAAGAATCATCTGTCAGTTCATAGTTATTACAGAAAAAAAAAAATAAAGTTAGTGTTTAGTTTTCACAACTTCCCTTCTTACCCCTACCAACTATTTCAACTTATCAAATCCATCCATTTCATGAGGTTTTCACACTTTCTTTACTGCCATCTGACAATCACTCCATATTCAATAAAACTATAACCAACGTTCCAAAATTTCCCTTCACCGTAACTCCGCAAGCCTTAGTCTCTCTGCGGGAACTTCTTACAGTCCAGTCAAGTTTTAAACACTTCATCTGTACGTTAGGAGAAATAAAAGCTGCACGTAGAAAACGATAGTTAACTGGCGTTCTATTGGGAAACAGCTTGATGGTGGCAGAAAGGATCATGAAGTCGCCTTCCACCACCACACCATTTAAGTAAAGAGAAAGGGGCAGTGACCATTTCCCCCTAACATTATTGATGCTGGGACTTCTAAACAGAAGGCTCAATGCGCAAAGGTTAGCTGACTAGAGAAGACTGTCACAGGCTGATTTACAGCCACGTGTTTGCAGAAAAAAATATGGCCACAAAATTCTCAGGTGATTCTGCTAGTGACAGGCATGATTAAGCATAAGGACCTGGCAGGAAGGTCAATTCTGTGAGAAAATGGGAATAGGTTCTTTACTTAAATAATGTCACCCGTCTTCAGCTAAACAGGTGGGTAGCAGTTCATATGAAATTACGGAAAAAGAAAAACCCAGTTACGATGAACACCAAAGAAATGCATGCCAACCATTAACCAAAGGTGCTTTGGTGCTGCAGCCATAGGCGGGAGGGTGGGAGGGGAGCAGGGGGTTCCCTGACGCTTAAATGACAGGGCCTTGGAGGCTCCTGAGACCTGCTATGTCTCCTGCAAGGCTGACACACTGCCATGCTCCATGATAAGAGTCACATAAACATAAGCTCATCGGCAGGCTTGGGGGACAGTGTGCAACATCGCTGTGTGGGAAAGTGACTTCAGGCTTGCCGAAGGGTCTCGTTCATCTGAGGAAATGATGCTTGGTGCCACAGGTCAAACGCTGTGGTCTCAAGCGGAATGCACGTGAAGTTTCCAGAATCTTTCCTCAAAGATGTGATCGGGCTTGGTGGGTGACCTTAGCTGGGATGCAGAAAAGTGGATATGGGAAGGTGGTTCAGAAGGGCATCTGTGAGGATTGGAGTTGGGCAGCTTTCAGAAGATGAAAGGTGTTTAAAGTTAAGGCCTTTATCTGCAAACAATAGAATATTAATAAACTCTATACCATATTTACAAATGCATTCTCTTGTAGTAAAACTAACGGGATTCTGTTCACAGTGCCATTGTTTATACAGGTAGCAATCCCATAATACTCATGTATTTTGGCATGGGGATCAGTAGCGCTCGGTATTTACAGAAAATGTACATGTGGTGAATATAAACATGTCACGGAAACGGAGTTATCGATAAAAGACAGGTTGGCTAATGGTGCAAAGGAATGAACTGTACAGCACCTTCCCCTCAGATCGGATAGGAAACGTGGATTCTGAAGTTGAGAAGATGCCAAATCTCTGACCCAAAGTGGCATAAAGTCAGTAACAAAACCATGAACCCCCTGTTCAAGTTCGGGTACACTGAGGAATCTTAATCCAAAGTTTTAGATCCATTTGTCTAGTGCATAAAATATAAAAGTTAAAAAGATTTATTATTATTGGATGATAATAATAATTATTATTAAAATAGATGGTCCTTTCTCTCATGCTCTCATCTGTGCTCTTGCACGTTAAGACCAATATCCTCGGTGTTCCAAATATGCTGGTGTTTTTGTCATGCAGATTAGCAGTCAGATGGCAAATGCTAAAATGCTCTGGATTTAGGAACTGCTGCCTGTCACAATGTGACCCAGGGCCGTGGGGACATGGCAGTAGCACCTCTTTCTTTCTCCCAGTCTTCTCCGTGAGGGGCAGGCCTGCCCCTGGACTCGGCTCCCGTGTTACTGAATGGAGTTGCTCATTTTGGCAGCGAATACTGAGGTGACGAATGGCTTCTGTACACGGGGAAGAAGGAAGGGAGGCAGGTGAGTGGGAGCAAGGTGGCATTCCAAAGAGCCCGAGGAGGAAACCCAGAGAGCGGCTGGGTTGATGGTCAAGAACCCCTAGAACGCCCCTCTCAGGAGGTCTCTGCTCAAGGCGGTTCTCCTTCTCTGTGTGCAGAGCAGGGGGCAGGCCTGGCTGGCACTAGGGGGCGATGCCTTCTGTCACAGTCTGATCCTCATCCTCGGTCCCGTGGTCGGTGTGGTCTGGGCTGCCACCAGCACAGCCACCACCACTGCTTCTGCGTTGCTTGGGCAGCAGGCTCTTCCACTGGGCTTTGTTGTGTGCAAGATGGCTTAGCATGTTCTCAGACAGGGCGCTGTTCCCGGTGAAACGGGCCCATTCTTGGAAGAGTGGCTCCACGATGTAGGTCATGAAACCTGAAACAGGCAAGGCCAAACGCATCACCACGCGGGCAGCGACACCTCCTCCTTCCTCCCTCACCGACTCGACCGCGCTCGCTACGTATTTGGCCTAGGGATATGGAGGCAAAGTAAATGTGGTTCCTACCCTCAGCCAAGGAGCATGAGGCATGTCTTCTTCGGCTTGGCATTTAACCTCTTCGTGCCTGAGTTCCCTCATTTGTAAAAAGGAGTTAAGAAAGGTACCAAACCCACAGGGTTGTTATGACAAGGAAATGGCTTAACACATGTAAAATGCGTAGGAAGCTCTCCTGGCACATAGTAAACGCTCAGTAAATATTGGTTATTATTCCTCACAGAGGGAGAAAGACATAAACAAGTGAAAGGAAGTTTGCGCTAGAACTAAGGAGGATGGGTGGGGAGGCAGGAAAGGGAAAATGAAACCAGCAAGGGGCACATCACTGATCTAGACCATATGAAAAATTCATACAGTTAGCCTCTATAATCTTTTTAAAGGATTATCCTTTCATAGTTTTGTCTTACTTTCAATTGTGTTAACCAACTGACAGCAGGTAAATAAAAAGTTCATCTTCAAAACAGATTTTTACGTACATAAAATCTTGGTTTAATTAGATAAGACTCTTTGATATCAGACTTCTTTTTTTCTTTTCATGCCTGTTTTCTTAATTATTTTAGACTTGTTGCTTTCTAATCATATTTCACTCTTTTAAAAAATATATTTTATTGATTTTTTACAGAGAGGAAGGGAGAGGGATAAGAGAGTTAGAAACATCGATGAGAGAGAAACATTGATCAGCTGCCTCCTGCACAACCCCCACTGGGGATGTGCCCACAACCAAGGTACATGCCCTTGACCGGAGTTGAACCTGGGACCTTTCAGTCTGCAGGCCGACACTCTATCCACTGAGTCAAACCGGTTTTAGCTCATATTTCATTCTTAATGTGTGTTTCATATTAAGCACGATTTATGAAAGTAAAGATAACGTTCTGTCTAGGCAGGAATTATTAGAATGATCATAAACATATACATATTTCGGTTTTATTGTTATTTCATTGAAATGTAGGTGTGGGGAGAAAAGGCAAGTGTTTTTCAGCAAAATAAATCTCCCACCAACTCGCCCTGAATGTGTACAAGCATGTGAATTATGAGGCTTGATTTGATTATCTTTTCATTGGACAAACAGTAGATCCTTGGCCTTTAGGATGCTTTTGAGATGGGAAGAGGATGTAGCAATGCAGAATGTTACTATACATTTCTGCATTATCTCATCTTAGGTGAAATATAATTTGAATATTATAAGATCATCTTAGATAACCCAAACTGAGGAGGAAAGTTAAAGCAGCAACTTTATGTCTGTATTTTAATATTTCATTCTTGAGCAAGTACAAATTTCTTTCTTGAATTTTCTTGCTTCCTATTCTTGGATTTTCTTCACCTCCTTCACAATCTCCATATCTAGTTTTTAATATCGTTCATCTTAACAAAGATTAGTTATCTAAAAAGATAGTTTTTAAAATTATAACGTTTTAAAACTAAAACCAGTTTGGCTCAGTGGAAAGAGCGTCAGTGTGCGGACTGAAAGGTCCCAGGTTCGATTCCGGTCAAGGGTATGTATAATACATTGTTTGCGGGCATATCCCCGGTGGGGGTGTGCAGGAGGCAACTGGTCGATGTAGCTCTCTCATCGATGTTTCTAGCTCTCTATCCCTCTCCTTTCCTCTCTGTGAAAAATCAATAAAATATATTTAAAAAAACCAACTATAACATTTTAGATGTAAATATTTATCAAGTTTACCTTAAATATAAAAACATTAAAAATCCAATATTTTAGAATCCAATAGTTAAAAATCAACTCATTTTATTCCTGAAGGTATTCCGGAATTACACCTCTGTGCTCCCACTTGTCCTGTTTAACAACCTCTTATAGTAGATAGGAAAGCTATTTTAAAGTCTGGACAACAGACAATTATGTGATACCATAATCAATAAAAAAAATAAAAAAATAAATGAAAAAAATAAATAAAAGAGTCAGTTTTTCAAATGAGGGCAGGCTTTCATTTCAAACTCATGACCAGATTTGGGAACCTCCCTCTGCTATGCAATGGTGGAGGGACTTTACCAAAATGTTGTCCTCTTGAAGGGGAGAGAATGGGGCAAAGGAGGGATGGTGGCCTCAGAGTAAACAAGGATTGAAGGAAAGCCTCTTCTCCTCATCTTTCTACAGATTCCACCAATCAGAAGTTCTTTCAATTCCATATTTTTTCTTTTCAAAATGTAGAGTTTGATGGAAAGAAGAGAGCAGGGGGTGGGTGGGGTGGGGAGATAGGAAGTCACAGTTCCACTTGGGTAGATATGAATTACTTAAACAGAAAATCAAATCTAAACCTGGGATGGCTCTCAGGAAATTCCCACGTGGATTGGAACCAGGGAAAAGAGATTGGACATTTTCAGTCCCAGAGGAATCAGACAGAGGACATTGCTGCATTACTTAGGGCCCACTGGGAAAACCTTTGTCTGGGACACCGAGGCCTGCAGCCCCCATTGGACTCTATTTATTTGTTTGGATTTTTCCGGTTCAGTCTGGTCTAGCTCTACACACCACACTTCCCAACCCTGAACCTACACAGTTGGGAGATGTGGTACAGAGACAGAGAAAAATATATGTACTAAGGATTGTTTTATAATCTCCTTCTTTTTCTCTTTATTATTGGTGTGCTGGTGTAGCATCCAGGGGATTTTCCTAGTCACTTAGTCCCCATCCCATTTTAAAAACAGGTATCTATGGTAACCACATTTTCCTGAGCTGAAAATCAGGACATATGATCTGACAAAATAGATGTGTTCTCATGACAACAGGATAGAATCTCTGAAATCAGCTTCATTGTGAAAATCCAGGTTGTGTGCTTAACAATGTGAATGTTTTCCTTTGGTGGTTTCAAGTGTCTTTAACAGGTGCCTGGCAAGTTTTTTCTATCCAGAGCTTAATGAAGTGGGTCAGTGGATTAGGAGCTTGGTCAGGGTGTATCCCTTTTGAATCACATTTAGGGAACCTCGGCAGGAGGGAGCCGGATCCGGAGAGGCCATTTCTGTCAAGGTTGCTCCTCCTCCCCTCTCCCAGCAATTCTGTGGCTTCACCTGCCTCGGATTCTTCCTGGCTTCCATTTTTTTATAACACCCCCTTTCCCTTTTTTGGGTAGGAATCACTTTAATTGCAAAAACAACAGAACAATATTAAGGAAAAAAAGGTCAACCAATAATCTCATAATTCCAACATACCTATTTTAAGGTTTGTAGATTCCAGTGGATTCTTTGTAACTAGATTAATGTTGTCCCTACTTCCCTAGGATTACTTCATCATATTTCATGGGTCTGAGGATTTGATTTGACCTTTAGTGATTGTAAGCATATCATTGAAGAAATATTTTTATTGTTGACAGTATTACTGATGACCCCTATTTCCCCCCCTTTACTCTCCCCTGCCCAGCCTCTATCCCTCCCATCCCCCTCCCTCCCACCCAGGCTTTCGCCACACGATTGTCTGTGTCCATGGGCTATGCATATAAATATGTAAGTTCTTTGGTTTATCTCTTTTCGACTGTAAGCATATCACTTTAACTTGCTCTGGTTTTCTTAGTTTTAAGCTTATCCTTTTCTGGTGCCCCTTTCTCTCCCAGTGTCATAGCATTAAGCTTTGAGGCTTTGAGATCTGCAACATTGTGAATACACTAAGCTGTCTGAGGCCTGTGGACTCTGGTGGAAAACATGAACTGGTACATGTCAGGGCCATTGCTTATAAGTAAAACTAGAGGCCCTATACACGAAATTCATGCAGGGGGTTTGGCCCTCACAGCTGCGGTGGCTGCTTCCCGAAGGATGGCCAGAAGGTCATTCAGCTGTTTGGTCTAAGTAGCCTATTACGCTTTTATTATTATAGATGTTAAAGTTCTGAGTGGTTTTAATTGGAGGGAACTGTAAGGAAAAGATGTGCTTTATACGTAGATGAAATTAGTTTAAGGAGTGATGGAAATTCTTACTGGGTCAAAAATATTTCCCCCCTAAGGTGCCTAAAATTTCCAGTTTGCTTTGCTTAATCTTATGTATAACTTTTTAAAGTAACAATTATTTTAGATTCATTAACATCACAGTTTAACAGTTCAGTGCAATGGACACTTGAGAGTGTGATTTAAGAGAGTGAGACTGAAGGTAAGTTTTGAAGGAGAGCAGAGAAGAGGCATAGCATGGCTGGCAGGGCCTGGCTGGATCTGGGCCTGGGCTCTGGAGACTGAATCCTGGGGAAGAGTCACAGTTATCCAAACTTGAAGGATCCTAAAGGCGGATTCTGCTGACTTCCCACCCGTTAAGTCCTAAAGAGAATGTGATCTAATCCGCTCTTCACCAGCAAACAGTTGATTCTTATTAAGTTCCTTCTACTCTATTTGGTTTAGATTTAATTCAGAAATATGAAGTTAATAAAAGTTAGTTAATGAAGTTAATAAAGGCTAGTTAAGGGTTTATAATAAAGCCTTCACCCAATTTTTCATTACTTCTCAATTGGTAATTACCCAGTAGATTAGTCATGATTACGGGTGTTTATTTGGACTCAGTCATTCACAGGTGCATTGATTAAAGCTCTAGTTTGGGCATTTCAAGCATTGTGTGTAGATCGTCTTTTCTTTGTGATTCTTGGCAGAGATACTGAAAATGTTCCTTTAAAATTAAAATTGAATTCAACTCACCAATTTGTATACTAGGAATTGAGTCTTTTTGTTGGTTACAGAGAGGACTGATTTCCAGTTCAAATTTCTGTTCAAGGTCACCTAAGAAGAAAGAAGAAACACATTGGTAATCTAGAACTTATGCAAATGAGTGTTGATAGTTTTATCAGCCTATTTGTGAATTGTGAATTACTGTTCTCTGCCTTGTTATCATTAGGAAGCCTTTTGCTTCCATTTGCTCTGTCTTGCTCTGGTAGCTTCTGTGAAAATTTAAAATATCAGAGTGTCAATGGCCATGTATAATAGGCTTGTTGTAAATAGCTGTGCTCTGGGACTAAAATAAACTTTTGAACAAGCTCTGTAAAAACAGGGACACGACTAATGGACATTCCTAACCTGAAATGCAAGTTCTGGCTTTAAGTTACAGGTTAAGAAAACAGATTTTATGCTTCTCCTCCACCTTTCACTCTTTCTGACCCTCGTCTGGTTTCACCTGAAAAACCAGAAATGATAAGAAGGTAGGAAATGGAGGCCAGGAACCAGAAAGTCTCATTCGAAGAGCATCTCAGTGTGCAGCTACAAAATTGATCAGAAATAAGGGTCTGATATCTTTAATTCTCATTCCTTAGACTTTTACTTAACATAACTGAAGGTTTAAAAAAGTGTAAAGTCAGAATGATAGTTCTTTTTAATACTTATGTCAGCTAGAAAACCAAAGGAGAAATGCATCACGCAAAGCTTTATCAAAATGCTTTTATTGGTTCTTCCTGAGGGTGAAAAATGGTGGGTAATTGCTACATTGGGAAAAACAATCCGGTTAATTAGTAGATAAGTTGGTCCTCAGAGCGTAGCCGGGTTTACAGATATGAATGTGTCTCTCCAAACCAGAGGAGCTAAAAATATAGCATTTTTACGTGCTCACTCACTGCCCTAAACATTTAACCTATGTAATTAACTTAATTATTTTACCTATGTAATTAACTAATTACTTACGATTAACCAATTATTTAAATCCTCATAACCACCTCATTATAATCCCCATTTGACAGATAAAGAAGTTGAGATGCAGGGAAAGGAAGTATGTTGATAGAGGTCACACTGTTAGGAAAGAGGAGAGCCGGGTTCCAACATAGGAAGTCAGGCTCCATTGTCTGCACTTAACCACTGAGGTAGAACCTCAGAGATGCCACATTTTCGTCATTTTCTCTAAGACTGCAGCTGTGCCTCGCCTGGTGTCTGTGTCCTGGTGATTCTCAAGAATAACGTGAGGCACTCACTCTGGCTTAACCTGAGGAGCTCAGGAAAGCAGGATGATGAAAACCTTCTGAGGACTGGGCATGTCAATGTTTAATATTGAATTGAATTTTCCTAAAGCCAGTTCTACGCCTTACCTTCCTGTTTCTGTTAATAGTGGTTTTTCAACCAATCTTGACACTTCGGATGAATTGATTTTTCCCTTTCGTTCACCCTCCACAATTGAGGCATCAAATCCTGTTTATTCTTCTCTTGCCTTCCCCCTATTACTTTCACTCTGCCTAACTCTAATCTGGTTGATAGAGAAGATACTAATCTGTACTTCCAACAGGACAGAGATTCTACTTCCTACAGGCATCAAGAGGAGGGGTGGAATCCTAACCCCCGTTCTCAAAATTTAACACCGTTTTCCTAATTTCATCTTTCTTTCTCTGTCTTCCACTTGATTACAGGGGATTTCCTTTGCTCAACATCACGAGTTATTAACCTGTTAACGGAGCGGGACGTATAAATACGTCAAACATAAACAATATTGGGTATGGGCAGGACATATGAATACGTCCTTGAAATATATGTTGCGCCCTGAAACAGGTGGGATGTATATTTCCAAACAACAAAGGTATTAGTCATCCATACATGTCTCGACATGAATTTAAGACATGGAGGGAATCAGTATAATTTCGCTAGTGAGAGTGGTGGACTTGTTCAACAGGAATTGTTTTGGAGTTAACACATGACTTACTGAATTAAGGGGATAGGATTCACTTAGATAATGTCTATAGGTCAATACATTTGGCTGAACTCTTGTGTCAAAACAATACAGACATTGTTGGAACAATGAGGATAAACAGAGTAGGAATCCCCAGTGAAATAAAAACAAAAAAATTACAGAAAAATGAACATTTAGTAAGATTCAAAGACAAACTTATGGTTTTAAAATGGAAGGATAAAAAAGATGTATTGATGCTCAGTTCTATTCATAATGACAAAAAGACAATGATTGAAAGAGAGGAAGAAGGCAAGAAAAACCGAATGTTGTCCTGGATTATAACAAGAATATGGGCGGCGTAGATTTGGGAGATGGAGTTACGGTGGCCTGCATGGCTGCCCGTAATAGGGTAAAAAAGTTTCATAAAAAATCTTTTTCTACGATTGATATGTGCTGCTTCAATGCATATATTACATACAAAAAAGATAAAGGTCATTTGGATCGATTACACTTTTTGATAGGGTGTGTAGAGAAATTGGTAGATAACAACATAGTGAAAACCCATCCAAAGATATCAAGCAGCTCTACATCTAAACCATCACGCTTAGTTGAGAGGCATTTTCCAGAACAAATGAAAAGCGATATAGGAAAAACTAAATCCAGGAAATGCTGAGTTTGCTACAAAAAAGGTATTAGGAAAGAATCTACATACTGGTGTCCAGATTGTAAGGTAGCACTATGTATCAACAATTGTTTTAAAATATATCACACGGAAGTTGAGTTTTGAATTTTTACATCTATATTTTAATTTTTTAAACTCAATATTTCTATTTTATTTGTGTGCTTTTGTTTATTGTTTTGTAATTGTTAAATTTTTATATTTTTTATTGTGTATCGAAATAAAAAATATATATTTTTTGTAATCTTTATAATTGTAAAATTTATAATTTTTTAATTCAATGTTTCCATTTTTTTGTTGGTATTCTTTTCTATTTGTTTGTAATTTTGTATTTTCCTTTCTGCTTTATATATAAACAAAAATATATATTTCATAGTCTTTTAATTTATTTTAAGTATAAATAAAAAAAAATAAATATGAAATTACATCCTCCAGGCGTGACGTACTGACATGTCCTAGTGAAAGAGTATGCGCCTGTTACATGTTGCATAATTAAAAAGGGAATTCCCTGGTTAACAGGTTAAAGATACTTTGGATGGGACTATTAGCAGTCTGTGGAAGCCCAAATACAGAAAGTCATGTAGTTTGGATGGCAAGAGTCTGCTTTCTCCTCTTAAACTGGCTGAACTTCTGTTAGACCAACAAGCAATCCTTTATAATAATCCTATATAATAAAAGGGTAATATGCAAATTGACCCTAATGGCAGAATGATCAGGAATGACTGGTTGCTAGGATGCGCACTGACCACCAAGGGGCAGATACTCAATGTAGGAACTGCCCCCTGGTGATCAGTGCGCTCCTACAGAGGGAGCTCTGCTCAGCCACCAACTGGGCTGACTCAGGCTGCCAGCGCAGCTGGGGTGGTGGGAGCCTCTCCCGCCTCCTCAGCAGTGCTAAGGACATCCGAGTGCCAGCATAGGCCCTATCCCCCAGGGAGTGGGCCTAAGCTGACAGGTGGACATTTCCCAAGGGCTCCCGGGCTGCCAGAGGGATGTCTGACTGCCAGCTTAGGCCTGATTCCCCAGAGGGCAGGCCTAAACTGGCAGGTGGACATCCTCTGGGGGGTCAAGACTGCGAGCGAGTGCAGGCTGGGCTGAGCGATCCCCTCCTCCCCCTCTATGCACAAATTTTTGTGCATGGGGCCTCTAGTTAAATAACAAGGACCCAATATGCCCTCTCCCACCTTCTCTCTCTGCCAGGGAACATGCCAGAGCAAAGGGCATGGAAGCTCACTTTTAGTGATCAGGGTTACAGATGTTCTAGGTTGTTCCTCTTATGAGGCTGCATGTGTGTATACTCTGAGAACAACAACCAGTTTTTGGCAGAAATCTTATAGGTTATTTTTCTTGGTTGATCCCATTTACTGTGCACTTAGACAGCAACTTTGATTCACCAACTGCGTGGACCTTACAATCTGTCCAAGTGACATGGTCCCCGTGTTGCTCATAATCCAAATAAAGGTGCAGGCTAAGCAAAGGAAGGGCAGCCAATGCCAATGGGAGCACATGATTGAGTCAAAGCCAAGAGGGACAGAGGAGAATCTCTTCTCTTTCCCATTGCTTAATTTCCAAGAATGAAGGACCTAGTCTTCCTCTCACTCTGCTACTCCAGTATTTTCTACATCACACGGTAAAGAAAGTATTTATCTTATAAAATCTGAAACCTCTCTGCTCCAATTCCATCCAATTCCCTTTTCCACTCCCCCTTCAGTGGAGATTTTCTATCACGAGCAACTAGAACTAACCTTCTGATTTGTAACTACTGACACCCAAATGCAGTGAAATGACACAGATTGTGGGAGCCACGTGAGCCCTTTTCCTCTGAGTGAACGAGGCGGTGAGCAGAGCCTTTTGGCCCCACACAACCCAATCCACTCTGCTTTGTCTTCTGTCCTTGGGACCATTACGAGGTCACTGACACATCTTTAGACAGAGGCTTCTCCAAAAGGCTCACTGTTGCTACTTGACCTCCCCGCAGAGCTGGTATGTGGGACACTTCAGGCCTTTATTTGTTCTCAGCCTCTCACACCCGATGCCGTCACTAACATCAGGGCACTGTTGCGCCTGAACAAACATCCCGAGCACTGAAACCGGGCCTGGAGAAACAGACTGTGCGTAAAGGCTGAAATCCCCCACAGCGGCAAGGTCCTGCTCAAATTCGGTGCCTTATTTCCGAAGGAGTCTGATCTCTTAAAAATTGTACCCTAACTTGGGGCCATTTGACTTTTCATGTGTCTCTGGAAGAGGATGGAATGAATTCTTGGTCAGCGATGCTCTGTTTCATTATTAGCTTTACTTGAGAAGGTGAGGGGAAAGGAACACAAAAGGAGCTAAGGCCTCCGTCAGAGTGGAAAACATTGACCGCAAACGGCTTTTTAGGTTTTAGGCTGTGTCAGCTCATTAAAATGAAGGTCAGGGTAAAAATCAGACTGTCCCTCACCGTTTTTATATCCACAGAGGGAAACCATTAAAAAAATATATATTCCGTTCTCACTCACTTTTATTGCACCTCATTACTACCTGTTTCTGTAATAAGTCAATGTTATTTATTTTGAAATTATTTCCAAAAAAGGGATGGATGGCTTGCGAGAGAGTTAGAGAAAGGTTAGGATAATAAGAGCTGATGAAAGAACAAATGTCATGACAGATTAGCCACTTCCTGTTTTATTAGGACAGATGCCTGAAAGGAGGAGGGGCCGTGAAGACGCAGCTGTAGGTTCGCAAACTAACCTTGCCTGTAGAACTCTTCACAGACCCTTTCACTCCACTGCTTGCTCATCTCCCAGATTCTGCAGGGGTTGCAAATGTCAGCACACTTCAAGGCAATCTGAGAAGTGACAGGGCAGGCAGGGACTGTCAGACAGTGATCTTTCAGCAGCAAATGCGCCCCAAGCCCAGGGGGCTGTGCCACCCACCAGAGCGCCTCGTGGTGCCAGGCCCGTGTCCACTCAGGGCCTCCCTCATGTGTCTCTTCAGGAAACAACACTTCTTCACCGCACACAAACCCTTCATTCAGAATCCCCACTTTATAGCAGTGAGAAGGAGAGAAGAGCCACCATCCAAGGACACGGAGCTTTCTGGAGGAGACGTGGGCTGTGCTGGCCAAGGAAAGCCAGGGCCAGGTTCCTTCTGCCGCCCCACCGCTGTCAGGGAGGGAGGCCGCCGGGGCCCCAGCCAGGCGCAAGTGAGATCATCTGGACCTCACTCTCACAGTGGCCAGAATGGCCAACCACATACATCACTTCAATGATGTGTGTTTGCATTTATGTCCTCGTGTCTGTGTGTGTGAGCAAGCTCAGACTGCCGGCCAGGCAGCTAAGTCATATCGAGCTAGGAGTGTTTTATTTGCAGAACTAAATCAAGGCCTCTTGGCTTGCCTCAGACTGGCCTGGCTCCGGGATGTCACTTTCTCAGTGACGTTAATCCTAGGAGGATTACCTTGAATTCCCAGAGAAGTAGATTCTGCCCCTCACCACCAGCGGCAGAGAGACCACAGCCCAGATGGGCTCGCTCCTGTGGAATGTCTTGCCCACCAGTAAGGTCTCTTTTGACCCAGTTCCCTGGTATTATAGAGCTGCTAACAGTGTTGATTTCTGGGAGAGCCTGGGTTATATTAAATTGCAAATTTGGTTGCTTCTCTATTTCTTGGTTAATGGGGGCACTAGTACATGTTGGAGTAGGTAAGGGGCAGAAGTCCCTTCCAAATTTTGCCCTTTAGGGATTTTTTTGTGTGTGTGTTGTGTGTGTTAACTACCTTTCCCTTTGAAATACAAGTGCTCAGGCCAAATCTTTCAGCTACTCACAACTTGCCTCCAGTCTCTAAAATCAGACCCTGGTTGATCTCTGTGGCACTCAGGGAAGAGAAGACTAATTTGGGTAGAAGGAAGAAGATTCAGGGTTGCAGCTGGGAGGAGAGCGTTTTTTTCTGGGAAGGATGGGGCACTTTGCACAGCTAGGGGGCAGCATGGAGGCCTGGAGCAGAAAACACTGCACAGTTCAGTCTGCCGCCTGCAGCGCCATCTCTATGGTTTAAGTTGGCTTATTTAGATGAGTCCAGGGTCCATCCATTCAGTCTTTTGTGCCAAAAAGGAAGACAAAAGAAAATGGAAGATCAAGAAGAAGGCCCTGGTTTGATACCAACTCAGAGTTGTACTTCTGCCGTCCACATCTCCTCTTTTTCTCAGGTTGCAAGTGGCTTCTTGCCATAGGATGACATGACATAGAAAGGGTTTAATTATTGGAGCCTAAAAATAAAAATGCTAAGACTAGGTAAACATGTTGGAGCCTCAGATGAAAATATGACTTTAGGCAGTAATGGCTTTAAGTAAAGCAGGGCTTGATTTAAATAGGTTTTAGGTAAAGGCAGGCTACTTGCTTCTTAATTTTTTATTGGTGCCGTAGTTAACATAATATACCTTTGTGTTACAGAAACAGCCGATTAAAACTGCACAGGTATCACAGTGGTTAATTTTATGTCAAGCAACAGAACGTGGTAGATTCTTACTGTGTGCAAATGCCCAGAGGGGTGGCGACTTTGTGGTGAAGCAGTTACCAAACAAGGAAGAGTGAGATATTATCAACTTACTGACACGAAACCCAGATTTTGCTTGCTTGGAAACCACTTAAAAAATTTCATGTGTCTCAAAGCTTTTAACAAAGTAGGTCACTGCTCTAACGTATACCATGGAAGGTACTCCTTCGGTGATAACATGATTGATCGTGTCCCTACCCAGCAAGTATATTGGCTTTGTTGTTGTTGTTTACCTGGAGCAGAAAGTGCCTGTCGTGTACATCCTCCAGCCTTAAGTCTTTATTTTGGAGGTGAGCTTTCAATCTGGTCAAAAATTCATTCTGCCGGTTGATGTCTGTTGCCAAGATCAAGGAGCCCAGTTGCTGTTCAATATCCTGTCTGCATCCACAAGAATGAAAGAGAAAACACACACAGAGAAAAATCCTTTTGAGGAGGGTGATTGATTCTGTCATCAACAGGTGGCTTGCAATCCCATTCCTGCCTTTGATATTGTTTATTAAACAAAGTTCCAGTGCCTCACAGAGCAAGAGTGAATTTCTCACCCACCATCGCTTCTGCCCTCAGACCAAGAACTGTGGAGAGTGATGGAAACCCGGGTGAACAAAGTTGCAATAGTTGATACATTCTCAGAGCTCCCATGGGTGGACAAACTGAAAGCCAAGTTGAAATGTATGTTTTAAGGAGGACACAAAAAGTTTCACAGAGTCACAGGAGTTTGGGTTATGCTTTTATAGAGCCAAAACAAGCTCAAACATTCAGATTTTCATGGGGAAAGAAAAGTGCATAATAACAATAATAATGAAGACATAGTAGTGACTGGTACTGTGGGATGGAAAGATTGATAGATGGAAAAAAACCCCAGGTAGGCTGGAAAGAGATACTGGAACTTAAAAATGATAGTGGTTAAGGCACCATTAAAAATCGATGGGCAAACAATATATTAATAAAAAATGGTATAGAGAGAATGGGATATTTTTGGAAAATAAAATGAAAGTGTCAATCTGAGGGTTGTCATGCAAATCCTTAAAGTTTTAATATGAATTTCCTTGATTACTAATGAGGTAGGACATGTTTTCATGTCTTTATTTGCCATTGATATTTCTTCTTTTGTAAAATTTCTATTATTCTATAGTGTTGTCTCTCTTTGGTTTACTGATTCTGAGAGTTTTAAAATATTTTTTCAATAGTAGTCATTTAGCAATTATGTGTTGCAAGTATCTTCTTCCATAATATGGCCTGGCTTTCTACTTTTTAAAAATGATGTGTTTTGGTAAAATAAAGTCTTAATTTTTAGTGTAGCTTAGTCTATAAGTTTTTAAATTTATGGGTAAGCTAATTCTTTTCTGAACTTTCCATAGTTTGTACAGTTAACCTTTACTTTCAAAATCAGAAAAATTATTTTAAAGCATTTACACAAGGATAGAAGGAATAATCATGATTATGATGATTATAAATTTCATTATAAAGTCCTTTCACATATATGATTGCATACCAGTTATCCTTTTAGCAAAAGAAAAGATTCCATAAATAAATAAAAAATGTGGTACTTTTGTTTGGAATCCATACGGATGAATAGGAGTATCTTAGGAAAGAAATACTAGGAAACACAGAGAATTAATGTGGGCATTGTCTGGACAAGTTCTCTGTTTTTCCTTTTGTTTTGTTTTTTTCCTGTCCTCATTCTCCCCTCCCTTCTCCTTTCTTTCTTTAGCTGACCCTGCTACTAACCTCCCATTTCATCTCCTTCTTACTTGATTTCTTGTTCTATAATAGTTTGTAGTTCTTTTTGCATTTCCCTGATCTTTGCAATGTGTTGTTTTAGTGAAAGGCACAAGCTTTGATCCCATGCATGAGGACTGCTTTTTAGTTTCTGGGAGTAAAAAGTTATCAGGACTGAAGTTCTTCCTGCAAATTCAACATTCCTCTGGGTGCTAGGAAACAGCATGAGATAGTATCAGATGGCCAGGAATAAACCCAAGGAGTCCAGAGCATAATGCCTGTTATGGGGAGACATAAACTGACCTTAAGCTGTGTGCCCTTCAGAAAGAAGGGTACTGAGGTCTATTTATTTACTTCTCTCTTAGCTACCTTGGGTTCTGTGCATTTTAATTACACAGATCAGAATTTGTGCTATCCTAGGGAGACAGTACAGCAGCTACCTTGGGGCCACGTGTGCAGTGAGGCAAGGGCCTTGGCCTTGGATTGAGTAGGACTCGGCCTGAATACTCCGGCTAATACAGCAGACCAGGAAACTAGTATTTCCCATTCTGTTTAAAATACGTAAATTGATGGAGAAAAAATTGCTGGGGCCAACGCAGTTACTTAACAAAAGATATTTTAGAGAAAAAAAAATATTCTGACTTTTATTTTCATGGAGACTGGCAATTACGAAACAAACTTCATTGAACTAGTCTTAAAGCTAGCTTGAGAACTCCTGTGTTCCTTTTTGATAAACATTTATTATTTGGGTCTACACAGGAGGACGATTTTGTTAACATAAAAGACAGGAATTTGGCAAAGCAGAGTGTTGATGCTGAAGAGTGTGAAAGGGGAGAGCTGTTTATTCTCCTTTTCCTGACGTTGGGTCACAGACCATCCAAGGCCTTTCAGAGCTCGGAGAGACTCTGGTTTCTGGGTTGCCGTAACTGACATGAATCTCCTCCGGCAGACAATGCAGAGTGCAGGCAGGAAGCACAACTAGCTGGCTCCTTGCCATTAACCCAGGGGGGGTCTCAAGTGCGCCCTAGAGAAAGCGGCTTATCTCTAATGCGTGGACATCAGTGTGTTTCATCTCTGCACTACTTACGTCATTTCCTTTGGCAAGTGAGCAAGAAGCCTGGATTCTCGGAGCATGCCAATTGTAGATCGCCAGTGGTGATTCTCCAGCACAGACATATTCTAGAGAGAAAATTAAAGCTATAAACGAGAGAGAAGCTACCTACGGATCTTTCATGGTGAACACAGCTTCCCCGAGGCCAGCACTTTCCCTCTTTGATAACAAAGAGGCAGACTGAAAAAGCAACACAAAATAAAAACAATCACAGGGCCTATTCTTAAGGCAACACTGATGACAGGACAGTGGCCCTTGCTGGTCCTGCGGTGGAGGACTGAACGAAGCTCTATTTCTAGTGTCATTCACTTCTGCTTTAGCCACTGTTTTTGCTAGCTTGGTCAGGCAACACTCAATGTAGAAGAAAGAAAGTGAAGCAGATACAAATAGGTAGTAATGGATACCATAGGGCTCTGTGCATAAGATACACCAAGATTGTACTGCTCAACCAAATAGAGGCAGACTCAGTCTCTTTGATCTACTGCACTCACATTGTTTCTCAACGCACATAAGAAACCTTCTCCGTAAACCACCTGGGAAGCTGATGACATACTACTGGGACTTCTGAGTCCCAGTCAATACAGTGTTGGGTAGGTGGGTTTGTACTGATTAATATTCATGCACACTAAGTTTGGAAACCACTGCAATAGGAACAGCTCTGTCAGTAATCTTTATGACCTAGTACTTTGGCACTTAGCCCATTAGTTCTCAGTTTGAATCTACAATTGCTTCCTTGTTCAATTATCTTGATATTCTTTTCCTTGTAGGAACCTTTACTATGTTCAGTCTCTCCTTTGATCCTACTTGTTATCTTAAATATGCTGCTTGTCTGAACATTAACTATTTAAATAATGAATATTTCTTACAATCCAGTGGTTTATTTCAGTTAGCAAACATTACGGCCTTACCACTGACTTGATATGTAGAATGGGACTCATCTAGCCCCTTGGGAATCATTGTGCTCTATTTCCTTCTTTGTTCATGTATTCCTTGTCCCTTTTGTCTCAAGTGGAGGTTATAAAACTTTGAGAAAAATACAGGAAGATAGCACTCATTAAAAGTGAGGAGAAATTACCTGATTCTGCTTAGATGAGGTACCTAGCGCTAGTTAAATTCATGAATATAGAAAAAATGGTGGTTCCAGGGGCTGGGGAAATAGGGAGTTATTTTTTAATGGGTGCACCTTCAGTTTTGCAAATTATAAAGAGTTCTAGAGAGGGATGGTGGTGGTGACTGCACAGCAATGTAAATGCACACTTAAGGTGGTTAACATGGTAAATTTTATACTGTTATTGTGCCACAATGAAATGAAAAAGGTGAGGGGAAAGAAGCAAAGAAAACAACACGGATACTAAATGGAGAGAGAGAAAGAAATATTCCATCATTATGCCCTCGTTGCTGTAACGGAGCCACCCATATAATGTTGAACTTTTTCAGGAAGTGAGAAAAGAGAACCTCTGTGTGTAACACAGTCAAGGATCTATTAGGAAAAAGCAAGTTCAAGAAAACTGACACTATATTTGGTTCTGAAACCAGACGGCAATTTCTCTCCAGGACTTTGCAGAATTTAGTTCCATGAGGCAGAGTCTGATACTGACCTTCTGTATGGGCTGTTTTATTGCTATTCATTCCTCTCCTTGCCAAAGAGTCATTATTTGTTATTTATCACTTGACTATGTTGGAACCGGTGATGAGATTTTGTTACTTTTATCAACTGGTCTATTATCTCCTTTTGGGCATGAGCCACACACAACAAAAGAGACTGTTTATTAGAAATAACATGCTAGACTAATTTGTTTTGACTGTCAAGATTTATGAGAGAAGAGAGTGATAGGTTAGTGTGATGTAACAGATGTGCTATCTTGGGGTGACATATAATTCCGTAACTCATGAGCGGTCACTTGCAAGACAAATTCAAGTGAAACGAGTGTCTTCATGTGAGTTTTTCAATGGGCTGGAAAACTGTAACAAGACCTGATGATAAATGACACCATATCTCTGATGAGTAGGACAAAAGTGTCTGAAGGCTTGCTTTAAGCATTGTTATTTATGTCAGCGTGATTTAACGTCTTCATTAATAATCTTCCCAAAGACAGAATAAAAGGGTACTTGGAAATTTGCGGGCGAAACCATATTTGGAGATGAGCACCAGGGAGATGGAAAGAAATGGAGTGGGCCTGGAAGCTGGCACAGAATGAAAGACAATGGCGCACTCGATTATAAACAGAACATTTCTGGGGGCAGCCACTATAAATAAAAGTATGTTTTGGCTAGAACTGTGTTGGAAGTAGGGGTACGTCAGTGGATCCCAGAGAATAAGAAAAGAAGGGAAGCGGAACTAACAATTATGAAGCACCCAGTTTACATGATCTCATTTAATCTCTACATAACTCTACTATTTTCATCATTGACTTAAAGGCAATGTAGTTTCAGGTTTCACCAAGAGTTTGCATAGCTAGTGAGTGCTGAGGAAGGCCTTAAACACAGGCCTGCCAGTTGTCAGGACCTAAGCTTTGCACACACCTCTTGCTGCCTCCCAAGAATTTTCTCTGTGGGGCCACATCCAAACATTCAGAAGCCTGACATTTACAAACTGAAGAATGCTTGTAGTGATGCTTACTCCTCCAAAAATAATGTATAGTCGATGCTTTAAAAGTTCATGGTTGCTTGTTTTAATTAGATGTTAGTCTGTAAACCCAACTTGGAATATTTCCCTCCAAATTTGGTTTCATTGTGAAAAACCCTGTAGTTTGAATGTTATGAGTTGAGTAGATTTAGGTTGTATTGAGGGAGAACTCATCTTCTAGTCACACTCAGTCCTCACACCCAATCAGTCTCTGAGACCTGAGTATGAGGTAGTTGGTTCTTCGAACATGACATCACTTATGTCTACCCGTTTCTGTCATTGCAGGGCTTCCTTCAGTCCACACTCCTAAGCTGTCAGAATGTGGCTTGTTTATTTGACAGAATTTCCTACTGTGTCCCTAATCAATGGTTGAAACATAAATTAATATGTATTGAGTGCTACTATTATGCCAGGTGCTATGGCAGGCACAGGGGATCCAATGATTAATGACAAAATTGCCGCCCCCAGGAGTTCACTGACTTCATAGGTTCCTGGGCTGATGCTCACCCACTGAGCCACACCAGCTGGGTCACATTTCTTTTTTCTTTTTTCTTTTTTCTGAGACAAACCATTACCATTTGTTAGGAAAGACCTTCTTGGTTCTCCAAAGAGAACTGACAGCTCCCTCTTCTATTAGTTCCACACCCCAATTCAAGCTTCTTTCTATCCCAGTGCCTAAAAGTCCTTGTAACAACTTTGTTCACTGGCCTTGCTCTCATGTGTCAGTGATCTGCACAGGTTTATTTACTCTTGAAAATAATTTTTAAAAACTATGCTTTCCCTATACTTCTTTCTTTCTTTTATTTTATTATTTATTATTATTTTTAGCTGTTTTTCTATACTTCATTATATAAAATATTTTCTCTTATTTATTTGAAAAAAAAAACACAACCTTTATTGCTGAAAGTATTGGTACCTAAAATCACAAATTTCCATGGTAACAAAAGATGTAATGTTCTGCATATTTGTAAATATTGAATTTTAATGTAAAGTCATAACATTCTTTTATACATTAAATATATCTAAGGGAATCTAAAAACCAATGGCACTTAATGCCCATTCATCACCCATAGAAAAAAGACACACATGAATAATTTTTCTTTAAGTCAAAAATTATAAATGGATTCTTTTCCCTCTAGAATTTATATTTCCACTCTATGTCCCCATAGAATTTTATTTTATGTAGTAAAATAATACATTCTATTATTTTATTGTCACCCTATCACATTTTTCTGCAACAAAAATAAGTATATGCATTGAAATTTTAACTAAACAAATTTTCCTAACCTCAGTCTCTAAGTATTTGTAACTAACTATCAAAATACACTTATATTACAAATGTGAAAAAATAATTTGCTTAAGAATAAAAATGTATTAGAGATGCATCTATTTATGAGAAGTTTGGGAGAGTTATAGTGCCTCAGTCATAGGAGACTTCCTTTAATATTTTCATTGTTCCTTTGTTTTTTTCTCACACGGAGGTAGTATGTGATATTGGTACAACCGGAGCAATATGCAACCTGCACCATTGGTAAGAGCTTTGTCTTGTGAAGTGGGGACAGGGTGATTGGGAAAGGATGGAAAAATAGGACTGGCTTGACTGCCTTACAAGCACATTCCTGGCAGGTCAGTTTAAGGACCTGAAAACGGGTTCTGTCAGCACTATTCATGCCCAGGCCCCTTAGGAAGTCTTCAAGTATCCCCACGGGCACACAGGCCTTGTCGAGACCGGCTGCCATACATAATTGCCATGGAGAGCAGGGAGCATATCTTATTCATCTTTGTGCCAGCATGTGGCACAGTGCCATTTAAAAAGTAAATATTTGTTGAGTGGATACTGAATAAATAATTTCCAAAACCTGAAAGTCCAGTAGCTGCAAAAGTTTAAGTAACTGCTAAAAGAAAAAGAGTCCTGTTGAAACTTTGGTCAATAGCTGATAGAAGCCAGACTTGGGATCTTTTGTTATGAAATCCTTAGACTTAAGTATAAAAGCCTAAGAGATTTAAAAATTATAGCAATAAGCACTCTCCTACTACTCATCCATAGGCAATTAGGAACAGGTAAATGACTCCAGAAATAACATATATCAGATAGATTTGTCAATTATCTATAATAATAAGAGGGTAATATGCTAATTAGACCAGAAGTCATTCCGGATGAAGCTGGGGCTGGAGGGAAGCCTGGGTCCCAGGTACCAGAGGGGAACTGGTGCTGGCAGCTGGGGGAAGAAAGGCCTACTCTTGCATGGATTTTATGCATTGGGCCTCTAATAAGATATAAAGTAAGAAAATAATTATAAAGAAATTTTCAATCAATGCTTCTCATTCTTTGTTGGACCCTGCTGTAGGGTAGCAAGAATGTTACAAGCAGCAGGAGCAGCTACTAAGTGGACAGTGGGGGTGCATGTCTTGGCTCCATGGTCTCCCTGATCTGTGTGCTAG